CCATCTTCTCAGGTCCTAACATGAGGATTCTTTTTAACTATAACAAGAGTTCTGTGTAGCCAAGCAGACCCACTCAAGTTCATGCATGCTCATCATCATTTTCTAGTCTCTGTTGCAGAGGGCGCCGACAAGTTGTGAGTTACGTGTGAAATCTCTTTCCAGCTGACACCAGATTTCTCAACCTTTTCTTCACCCAGCATGAGAGATTAGTCTGAGTCAATTCCAATTTCTTGGATTGTGTTATCTCAGTAGTTTGACAGTTAGGGGGAGGGGTACTCCTGTCTGCTTGGAATAATTCCATTCCTACCAAGATGTTTTCGTTGCTGGTGTTTGGGGCCCCAATGTTGAGAATGTTAGAAAACTGGTACGTTGAGCCCAGGCTAAATCTTCTATCATATTGTCACGTGTAGGGAACGCACATTGCCATGTATGTCCACAAATTCAGCTTCCCCTTTCCTTGCTAATTTTCTTTATACAATGGGTTGGGGGGCGCCCATCAACAAAGTGAAGACATGACCGGCCTTTTAATATTACTCAGAAGCGTTTTAGAGTCAAGGGGCAAAAATGGAACTCTGATCAGATCTGTTACTGTCTTGAATGACTTGAAATGAGACTGATATTTTTAAACTTGGGAATTAAAAAATTCACAAGGCTATTGATCTGAAACTCTCCTTAGCTTGATTATAAATAGCCTGGCTATACTGGTTAGTACGTTGTTGTTGTTGACACCAGCTTGATTCATCTAGGAAGAGGAAATCTCGATTGAGAAAATACCTCCATCAGATTGCTCTTTAGGCACCTCGGTGGGGCATTTTCTAAGTGGATGATGTAAGAGGGCAAGACCTATTGTGGGCGGTGCCGCCCCTGAGCAGGTGGTTCTGAGTTGTATAAGAAAGCAAACTGAGCACCCCACCAAGGAGCGTTCACCTATGGCTTTTGTTTCGGTTCCTGCCTCCAGGTTTTTGCCTTGAGTTCCTGCCTTGGTTTCCCCAATAATAGACTTGTAAACTGTAAGCCAAATAGCCCCTCCCCCCATATTGTTTTTTGTCAGTGGTTTACCACAGCAATAGAGAAGCAAACTGGGACTCTGGCCATAACAGTTATTGTCTAAATGGGGATGCTTTTGAGAGTGAAAGGGGATTGCTATTAATAGGAGAGGGGTGTAAACTGGGACTTCCTTGAGAAGACCAGGTATACCACTCACTTGGATTTAGAAAACTTGGATTTAGAAAAAAAAAATACCTTTAGGAAGGTATTTTTCATTTTTGTAAGCATGTTTGATTTACCCAGCTTTTGGTCTTAGGGTTAAGGTTCTGTCAATATTTTCTCCCATTCATCTGAAGAAATAACAGAAGATAAGCATTTTGTTAATAAGTGACTCTTCAGAAGATAAAAGTGGGTGTGGCGGTGCACACCTGCAATCTCAGCATTTGGGAGGCAGTGGCAGGAACACGAAGCACTCAGAACTGCCTCAGCTACCTAGCGAGTTGGTGACCAACCTGGATTACATAAGACCCTGTTTAAAAAAAAAAAAAAAAACCAAAAAAAAAAAAAGACAAACAACAACTAAAAACCCAAAACGAAACAATGCAAGCAACAAAAACGACCAGTGATGTTAAAAAAAACCTGAAAATAAATGTTTGTGTTTAGCCCAGTAGTTTTCCTTCTTCAAACGGAAACATTAACGCTATAGTAAAGTTAAAAAAATTATCCGGCGGGGAGCCCCTGTCCCTGTTGATAAATAATAATAAAATGAAATTAAAATATAACCATCTCCTGAAAGTTCTGATTAGTCTTCTTCCCCATGGAAGAATAGAATTTTGAGGAGGACGTGTTAGGACTGTTGTCTCTTGGGAATCTATGTAAAGGCGTTATCTGTACACATAAACTAGAACGGGTCTGGAAGGACATGCAGCTGATAGCAGCTTGGTTGATAACCACGCCCACCGAGTGACTGATTAGTTACACCTGCTCCTCGGGCCTCCAGCGCTTTTCTCATCATTACCCTGTCCTCTTAGCAGAAGCCCCAGCACATGAAGGGGGTAAAACTGCCCACCCCCTGATGACGTCACAGAAGAGGGTGGCACCTTATGGGCGGTGCGACCTCCTGGGGGCGGAGTCAGCGAAGGAGGGGGGGGCAGGGCGCCCCTCGGGCCTGGAACGCGCATGCGCGGCGAGGGGGCGGAACCGGGGCGGGGCTGTGCGCTGTGTTCTGAGTGAAGGCGGCGGCAGGGTTCGGGCTGCGCGGGGACAGCGGGTTCGGGTCTGGGGTGGACGCCACCGGCCGGAGCAAGGCGGCCAGAACCGAAGTCCCGGCCAGTCTTCAGGACCCGGCAGAGACCGTCAGGGCCAAGGCGGGGGCTCGCGTCCCAGAGGACGGAGGCTGGGGCTGAGCGGAGTGCCCGGGTCGGGGCGCGCCAGGTAGGTGGGCCGAGCTGGGCCGAGCTGGGTCCGGTGGTGCGGGGCTGAGCTGAGGGGCCGGGCAGCTGGGAGTTGGAGACACTGGGGACCCGACCGGATGGCGCCCGCGGTTGTCATGGCAGTGGTACAGCCTAGCGGTTCGCTGGCTGCGTCTTTGGAGAGTGGTCCTAGACTTGCGATCCCCTTGCCTTGGGCCTCTTAGGGAGCTGTGGGATGCTATACACCGCGCCTGCCCGGTGCATCTCTGCTGGATCCCGGGGCATCCGACTCTGAAGGCCTCGCGGGTATCTTCGGTGTCAAAACACCGGATAAAAATAAACATGCATCTTGGTGGAGGACGCCGACTGCATCCTCGCAACTCTTCAAGCATTTTCTGTCCGCGCATCGTCCCGGACAGGCTCTCCCTCACCCTTGCTTTATATATTTCATATCCCTCTGCTTTGCTAGTTAGCTAATTGAGGCCTGGGAGGTTTGTAGGATCCGTGGTCGTCTTTTGCAAAGCCAGTCATCAATGTGTAGGCCACCGAAACACTCAAAATGTCAGACACACATTTATATCTTTGTGGGCGAAGGAAGGGAGCATTGATGGGCCTTGGCTTCTCTTGCCCCTCGTCGCTTGCCCTCTGACATTACATAATGGTGGGTTCCTCCTGCCCGGAGTTGACAGCTCATGAAAATGTCCCTCTGGGTAAGAAGGAAGTATAGGCCGTTGTAAATCCCATCTTCTTGTCTTTCGCTTTGCCTCTGAATGTGTTTGGTGTTGAGAGGTTGCCTGAGAGTATAATGTGATTTGTCACCTGCCAGTTAGGGCATCTGAGCCAAGGGGATGGGGGGTGGGGTGGCACCGAGGTTGAGATGTTGCGGTGATAGTCTGCTTGGTTCACGCCTGTGCCCAGTAGGTTGTGTGGACAATGGGGACATCCCGAGGACCTGAGGACAGAGTGGGCTGATCTGGGTGTGAAGACTGAAGGTTCTGTCACTTGCTAACTGAGGTTCTCAATGTTCTCATCTCTAGAAGGTGAAAACCGAACCTCATTTGCTGAGTTTGTTTTGACATCTGAATGCTAGTGTCTGGGCAGTGAACAGCTATGGATTGTTCTACTTACTTAGCCTTGTTGTCTTTGGCTGAAGACGGGAAATTTTATTTTTGGATCTGGGCTCAGGCCCTTGTTTTTGGGGGTGGGGGTTATTTTGACAAAAGGTCTCTCCTGGAAAATTGAGTTCTTTGAAGAGAGCTGGTGCTCACTGGAGGAGGTCCGAGTGTTGGTTCTGTACAAGTGTTGGTGTCAAGAGATCACAGTGCTGTTTCTCGGGTGGCGCTGAGCGTGAACAGCGTTGCCAAGGTGGTGTTTCTCGTGTGTGTTGTCAACATGATGTGGAGATGAACCAAGTTCACTGGGAGGGTGGGTCGTCTTAAAGACTGGGCTTACGGGAATGGGTGTAGGACAAACAGAGAAAAGCGAGGGCTGTGTTTCTGCTGAGCTCTGTGAGAGCATTTCTCTCTCATTCTTCCTTAGCTGCTTTGCCTTTCATTTGCCACCACCCATCTCAGAATCTGCTTCGGTGATCCCAGGCTCTCGAGCAGACTCAGACTTTAGGGCATACATTAGAGTGTATTCCATTGCTTTGGAAACCAGGTACTTTGTAGTATTACTGTTAAAATGAGTATTAGTTGTTAAAAATCACTTTAAGGAAATACACATAAATAATAGAACACTGGAGAAATGGGGTGTATATGATAAAGAATTGTTGACCCTGCTCAGCTGCCTACCTAGGAGGATTCTCAGCTAGCCTCAATGAATGCACCAAAAGAAAGGACTAGAAGAGTACTGGGATCAGGTCACCTCCACCCCCACCCTATGGGTTAGCATCTCAAGAACTCTGTAGGGCAAAGTGGAGGGGGAAACTGTCCATCAGGGCTATTTTGTCTTGGTTTGACTTTTTAATGAAAAGCTCCTCCTTAGCTTCCATAGTCCAGAGAAGTTCTCAGAATCATCAGGAGGCTTTGGCTTTCACTGAAGAAGTAAACAGCACAATTCTGTGATGGAGAAAGCTGGATAATGCTCATGCTTCTTTTACACAACTTGATTGACAAGCAAGAGACTGGTCCTGGAACAGAAGCTCTGAGCAGAGCACGCGTTAGGGAGACCAGTATTAACTAGACCCTTGCTGGCTTGCTTCGCTTTGCCTGTCTCTCTGTGCTTGAAAGAAAAGGCCATCATGAACCCAGTCCTCAGAAACCCCTGGAGTGCTCCTAGCTCTCTTAACTAATGTTTCTTTTGGGTTTTGATGTCCTCTCAGCAAAGTTGTAAGAATAGTACTAATATAAATAATTTTCGGAAAATCTTGGTCCAGCTTCTCCTAACGTTGGCATTTTCCTGCATCTCTGTTACTCTTCTCTCCTTTTCATGCTTTAAACAAACAAACAAACAACTTAATTGTACCTTGATGCTAAGTACCCTGTACCTCTAAATCCATTGAGGTGGATTTCTTAAAAACATTTTGTACATACAGTACTTAAAACCCAGGAAATGAACATTGACAGGATCTTGTTATTTATTCTTAGAAATTGCTCCAATAAAGTCCTTTATCCCAAAAGAAAACCCTAGCTTTTTTATTTTATTTTTTTTGTTTGTGGCTACAGTCTCTCTTAATTAGTGTTTCTTTGTATTTCATGTCATTGACATGTTTGAAGACTACTGACGGTTTCAGATAATGCCCCTCAGTTTGGGTTTCCCGATCGTTTGGATTCGGGTTCAGTACTTCTTGCGGGAGCAGCAGAGGCTTGCCGGGCTCGGTGTGAGACAGATACTGCCCACTATCTCATAAGACTCGACACTAGGCTTGTTAGCTTTGATATCTTGATTAGGTTGGTGTAGGCCTCATTGAAAAGTTACATTTTTTCCCCTTTGAGATTAATATGTATCTCGTAAGGATGCAGGACATGTTACTCCTTAGTCTGTCCGGCCACAGCTCGAACCCATTGATGCCTCTTATCTGAATCATATAGCGTTGACAGATGCGGTTTTCTAATTTCCTGTTTCCTTCTACAGGTGTTAGTTAGAACTGTACTAAAGAGGACACCTTGTCTTTTCCCTAGAATGCCCTTACTTTTTGATTTACATCCCTGGAATGTGAAAATCTTGCCGTATTCATGAGACTTTAGTCTGTTGCTGTCATTCTTTCTTATTACTCAAAGTGTCCCAGATTTGGCCTTTGGGAGCCTCTTTCTTTGAACACGTTCCCATCATTCTTTAAGGACTTCTTTTCCATTCTGGTACAGAATCTTTGAGACTCACTTTGTATTTTCCTTGCCTCGGCCTCAGGACCAGCCGTTTCCAGAGCTCTGTTTCATTCATGGAGAGTGGCTTTAGACTCCAGAATGCCGGTAGTAGTTGGGCGAGTGGAGGTGGTGTCGTCACATTTATTTATGTACGTCTTGCAGTGTAGGAGATCAAACTCAGGGAGTCGTGCATGCCAAAGAAGCCCTGTGCCGCTGAGCTACCCCGACAGCTTAGGCCTTTTCCATGGACTGGTGTCTTGTTAGAGCTGGCAAGGTGGCTCAGCAGGTGGAGGCACCTGCCTCACAACCTGACACCCCGAGTTCCATCCTTGGTGACTCAAAATGAATGAAAATGTAATGCATGTTTAAATTGTTCACATAAATGCAAATAGAGTTGCGTTACATACCGTTTTCTCTGATTGGCTTTTTCAATTCCGTGCTGTTTGTGTACTGACATGATGAGTTTACCCTTTTTTGGAAGTGGGAGCCGTAATCCAGGGTAGGGGTGTGCTGTAATTTATTGAACCATCTTGTAATGGTGGGCATGTAGGTCCTTTCCAATGTTCTGCTGTAAAAATGGCCAGTTGTATATGGACCGACCCTTTAGTGCCTGCCCTTCAGTCTTTAGGGCCCCTGCAGTAGGACAAGGAGTAATTTTGAATCAACAGTTTTGCCAAATAACACCCCCAAGAAGGCCTCCTTAGCTCACACCTTTCCATTACTTGTTTCCCGGCAGCACTGACATTCTTAAGTTTGCCAGTCTAATGGCCCCAAAGACAGTCTTCTTTTAATTATGTTTCTCAAGTGGCCAAAATCATGGAATTCCTTTTATGTTGAACTTTTTAGTTTGTCTGAATTACCTGTTCATATCCTTTGTCTGTAATTTCTCATACTAGGTTGGCCTTACATTACTAGAGATGGTTTCTTGGCAGCTTGAAGTATAAATTGTTACCCCAAGGGAAAGGAACCCAACCTTTCATGACCACACTGCTTGCCAGACCTAGGCCATCTTTCCTCAGGCATCCTCTGAGGTCCTGTCAAGTGGTGTCGATCTTGAAGAGTCGATAAGGGCAGGCGTGGTCAGGCACCTGCAAGATGGTGTTGACAGAAACCAGATGGGGTCAGAGCCAGGTGTGTCTGTTAAGATTTGCTCCTAGGACTTAACGAGCTCTGGAGCTGGACTTCCAGAAGCCTCCAGGTAGCTGTGTGACTTGGGGCAAGTAGCGTATGTACTCTCTATGCCTGCTTTTCTCATCTGCAAAGCTGGGCTGATGGTGTTTGCCCAAACCCTGACCTGCATTCGGTCTTTTGCTATGGTGTTGTTCAGTGAGGATCCCCTGGTGAAGGCCTCAGAAGTAGGAAGGTAAATTATATGTGTGGGGCTGGGTCGCAGAGGCTCATAATAAGAATGAGACGTCTGTTTTCTGGGACAGTCAGGAAGACAGAGAGGTGTCCTCTGATCTCTTGAAGGAGGGTTGAGGACTCTGTGGAGAAAGGGTTTGCCCCTTCAGTTCTCTTCCTTGGCCTCTCCTCCCCCTCTTTCACACACCTGGAACTCCTGACCTCAGTTTCCCACAACACCCCTCTTGTACTTGATTAGATAGGGTGCTGAGGTCCCCTGAAAATCCCCCGTGTACTTGCAGCTCTGTACCTCTGGTCAGAGCCCGTCACATCTGGGATGGGCTGTTGCAGAAGCTGTCTGAGTTAATTCGCTGCA